ATAGTGAGATCTTTGCCAGATACTAAAATTTACCTCCGTATTTAACATTGATTGAGAAGGAAAATTATTTATTCTGTTGGTGGCTTTGTGATTGCCAAGTGAGGTTTTTATCTGACACTTGCCACACACACACACAGACTTTTAAGAACAGGCAGCAATAAATATGAGGAAAGTTAAGACCATTCTACACTGAAGGAACTTGTAAACATCCAATTTGAGCACAAGCTGGGGAACTACGAGTGGAAGTGAAAATATATTCCCAAAGGAAACAGAGATTGACCTCTGCCCATTGTGTTTGCTTTCAGAATCAAGCAGTGCAAACCCAGGTTTTGTCTGAAAAATACCAGCCAGCAAATGTCGTCTCCTGCCTACTTCTAAGGCCAAATATAAAACCTGCTTGCAAATTACTCCCAAAAGTGACTGCACTTCAAAAGGCCTGTGAGACTAACAACCTAAAAACGTAACAACATCACCAGGATCTAACTGAAGAGAGAAGCACGGCTCACACTTACTGTGGCATTAAGTAACAGGAAATAACTCCTTGGATTTATTTACAAGAATAGGCACCCAACGAAATCACAAGTGCAAAAATATTGAGATTTACTCATTTTTATTTTAACTGACTTTCTAACCACAGTCAAATGAGAACCTGAGAGGGAAATTAATAAATTTAGAGGACTAACTTGCAGAGGATGCCAGCAAGGTTCTGACTATTTGGCTGCTGGTTTATTTATTAATATGAAATAAAAATCACCATTTTCACCTAGTGCAGATTATCCTACTAACCCAGGGTCTGCCAGTTGCCAAAAAGGACTGGAGGAGGAGGCAGCAATTGAGCCTCTCCTGGCTGTGAGTTCATCCTACTGACAGCACCCTGCTTTCCTTAGGACTTCCTTCTGAAACTCTGATCAAAGCTCTCATTTGCTGTGGAACAAATGTAAATGGTTTGATGATAGGCTGCAGATCCTCTTAAATCTCTAATGCAGACCAAATTATTTTAAAAAAAAATAAAATCAAGAATGCAGAACAAATTATTTAAAAAAAAATATCACTGATGCAGACCTCATTACTTATTTTCTAGTATTCAACCATATTTCATCACAATAATATTACATTTTATTTTCTTTACCAGGGGGACCTTATCTAGGTTTGTTAGATAAACTACAGCCAAGAGAGCTTCAGGAAAATTAGCTCTTCCTCAACGGTTGCTGCTGTACAAACACAGATGTTCCATCCCTTCCCAAGAGTTTATTTCATAAAGGAATTCAAACTAGAAAAGGAAGATATGGATGAACCATAAAAAAAAAAAAAAGCACATTTATCTTCAGTTTTCACAATTTTAAGTGTGCTTTGTGCTTTGCTGGAGGGAAGATGAGCTCTGCAGGAAAGGGATGGGTGTTTATTTTCCAGCCAGCAGAGCCAAGAGTTTGACGTCATCGTCTTTCAATCGCCGGCACTTGAGACCTACTCCTGACACATGCAAATTTATGCGTGAGGCTTTCAAAATTAGCATGCATCCCTAAAGACAATCGGCGAAACTTCAGCTTCCAAGCGGAGCTGATGGGTTTTGAAAAATAAACCAGTCAAATAAATCACGGGCTTTAGTTATGCTGGGTTTCCCAGGCAGCACGTTGGCCATCAGAGCTCTCGGTGTGTCACAGTTGGAGGCATGGACAATGTCAGGATGATGGGAATTGTGAATAAACTGATATTCCTGAGATGTTATGACGTTTTCCCTTAGAATATATTGTAGTGTTCCCATGTAGCTGACATTTCAGCCAGACTTTCTACGCATTTTCAGTTCTAGGCACAGCTACAGCTCAAGGTGCTGCAAACTCCTCTGAAACCTCCTCCCGAGTAAAGGATCAAGGAAAAAAGGGGGAACAAACAAGTCTTCTAATTTGCTTTGAAACCAAAAATGAGTGGATATAAATTATTGCTGGTGCCAATTTTTGCAGCTTGACATATGAAAACTGCTGGACAACAGCATTATCTCAGTTTCCCATATTAAGGGGAGTGATGCCAAGAAGAAACCCCACTCTCCGAGGCCAATAGAAAGAAAACAGCGGGGGAAGAAGGGAGAGGGGGAGGACAGGGGGAGGACGACACACGTCCAGTTGTGTTTTTCAGTCATTGCTTTGAACTAGAGTTTCTCACAATTCATTATTTTCAGAAAACAGACGTAATGCATTTCCCTGTTGACAATTTTCCGAGCTGCAGCCATAAAGAAATCCCAAGTGCTAAACCCCACGGAGACGGTATCAGGCAGAAGGTCGTTATTTGGACCCACAAATTCTGTTGGCAGTTCATGTCTTATTGCATGAAACTCTTTAAAATAAGAAAAGTTCCGAATCAGAAAGCCCCTAATTAGAGCTCTCTCTGGCATATTTATGAAATGCAGAGAGAGAAAGCTCCTCCTGTCCATCATGGCTGCAAAGGAAGACGTAATGCTGTTCTGTGGGAGGTTGGGAGCATCTGCTGGGGAGGGCTCAGGAGCTGATGAGAGGTGACAATTTACACTCCCATTGATTTTGCAGAAAGCCAGGGCGGGGGGGAGTGGGGAGGGAAGAAAAGGTTTCACTCAAGATGGATAGCAGGAGGACCAAAATTAGAATATATGAATTATAATTAAAGTTGCTGGGACACTACAGTTAGAAAAAAACAGTGCAGATGACCTGGAACTATACTATGGGTGTCAATAGTAATAGATATATAGATATATATATATAGATATCTATATATCTATAGATATATAGATAAGCAATAGATATATTGACACTATGGGTGTCAATAGTAATAGATAATATAGATAATAGATAGATCATGCTAAATGAAAGCAAAAAAAACCCCAGGAACTATGAAAGAGAAGTATGAAGTCATACTAGTAACAGTCAATATTCCTCAAACCTTAAGGAGATCCATGATTTCATAATCATCCCTATACTTCACTATCATTCCAACCACCAAAAAAATTCAAAAATGAATTATTTTTTTTTCATTTTCCTCCCGAATTGCACATGTTCTTCAAACTCCAGACACGTTTGAGAAGTTGACGTAATCCAAAGTGGGAAGAGGGCAGTTGACAGACCAGCTGCGCAGGGCCGGTCGCAGCAAGGGAGCAGCAGCCCCTTCCACACCGAGAAGGTAAAAATACGTGTAATTTGTGAGCTTTTCACATCCTCCTGCCCCTGTCTGCGCTGACAGCTGGGGAGCACTGAGGGGAAAAAAAGGCTGAACACATGGCATTGTCCACGGGGGTGGGGGAGAAGAGCAGTAGCTGTTGTAATCACACTGTGAATCACCCCGTTTGGAGTGGCTATTGGTCACTCAGCTGCGTGTCATACCCACAATGAGGACCTGGTTTATCAGTAATAACATCTTCTTTTAATATACAAAATAATACTTTTTTCTCTGATTCTTCTTCCTCTCCAATAAGAAATTAGGGATTTTCTTTCTGACACTGTTGTCTCCAGGCAATAGCATTCAGTAACAATGAAGGATTTTGCTTCAGTGGCCAAACAGTTCAATCCACTTAAGTGGGGGGAAAAAAAACACCCAAACAAATGCATTTCAGAGTTTATAAAAAGCCCATCTTAAATTCCTAAATGTAAAGTACAATAAATAACCTGAACCATAAAATAAAAGTATTGATTTTACCTTCAGCTAAAAAACCCAACCCTGAACTGCCTGGTACTTTCCCATTATTTCTGCCATTTGCAAATAAAAAAATTTAGCTAAGGAAAGTGCTGAAATTACTGATCTGTTATCTGTTTCTGTATAGACATAAGTACGTGCACACACAGAGGGGGGCACATAAATCCTCCTTTCCTCTTCTCATGACTCTCTCCCCTGCATCTACAGCAAGGGGAGCCCATAAACAATTCCTGCCTAAATGGGTCACTTCTAATGAGGAAGGGTGACATTTACATGGAGAAAAGCAGATTGAGCAGGGAGCGGAACAACAGAATATGGCATCAAGCAGAAAAATATGCCTTGGCAGGCAGTTTGTAGCAAACCATTCGGCAAGTTCCTAAATCCTCTGCAAAGATGGAAGCAAATTCAAAAAAGAAATGCAAAATGAAAAGTATAGGTGGTTTAACCTGGTAAATATTCACTAGGATTATCCTTTGTGCTTGCAGTAAAATGGAAAAACCTTGGTTCCCTTCACCACTGTGATGTCGCTTGTACCCTTGGTTCCCTTCACCACTGTGATGTCGCTCGTACATAATAACACTTCAGATTAAAAGCACCATATTTCTCAGAGATTCTCTAATTAATTAACAGCCAGCAATAACGTTAAATTGCACCTTCAAGTGCCAGCACATCCCAGCACCCCCAGTTGTTTTCCACCTGAACAGCAGCAGAGAATCGCTCTCCCTGTGCTCGAGTGATTTCAGCTTCAACCTGCGTTTCAGCAAAAGGCACAAAAAAAAAAAATCTGTGCCGTGCAAAGAACAGAAGCCCCTCTGCTTCAACACATTGCAAAAACACCACTTGGGGGGGAAAAAAAAGGCAGAGGGAAATTCCCACCCTGCTTAAATATATACCAAATATCCCCCGTGTCTTTGTTCAGACTCATTGAAGGTGTAATACTGATTGCATTGTTAAATAGCCCACTGAATATCGTGCGAGCAGCTCTCTCCTGGCTCCCACCAGCCTCCCCTGACCCAGCTCGACAAGCATGAAAACACCAAAGAAATGAAGGTTAAACAAAGCCCGGGGTGGGAAACAGGCTGCATTACATTTAAAATGTCAATTGAAAATGTAAAATTTGCCGTTTGGATCTTTTTAATGCTAAATATCAGCTGACGGTCGCCGTATTAATGGTAGGTGCTGCTGCAGAGAGACAAATGGAGTAAATGGCATGAAAAAAACCCTACAAATCTTTCCCCATCTGCCACATAAAGCTGGTCACGGACCTTACAGCGTGTCGTTAAGGCAAATAAGGAACAGCAAAATAATCAGCTCCTTGCAAAGAGAAAGCGATTTGATCACTGTACCTTTCTGTGTTTGTCCCTCTTCCATATTCTCTTCCATGGCTACCTTTCTTCACTAGAAACAGCTACAGAGAATTAATCAAAAGCTTCAGGCAGATGTAGGAAAAAAAAAAAAGTGTGGATTTTTTTTTTTCTTTCTTTATTATTATTTTTTTTTTCCCTGGGAAGCTCCAAGAGCAGAGGCTTAGGCAAGTCCTCCCAGCTTAGCCAAGGCTCCCTTCGCTCTCCTCGTTTGCTTGGAGACGGGCTGTCAAGTGTAATTTCATTCAAATTACTCTTCCGTGAAGATTATCAATTTTTCTTCTCCGAGCTGCCCATTGTGCCCCACTGTAAGCAGGTATTCAAAAAAACCAAGAGCCGGGGAATTTTTTTGGGGGGAGAGGGGGGGAAATTTGGTCTGAGCCCTTCTGGCAACGGCAGCGCTTCATAAGCCTCGCTTTGCATATATAAAAAAAAAAAAGGAAAAGAAAAAAAATGGAGAAAAGAAATTGAGGGTTGTATTGAAATCCGTGTTTTAAATGGGAAAGGGGCTGAGCTGAAAGCGGATGGAGGGGTGTCCTCCTAACGGGAAGCAGCCCACCAGCCCAGAATTCCCCCTTTTTCCTCCCAAAGTGGGAAAGCCCAGATGCCTGTGGGTTCTTTATGCTGAATTATTTGTCTCCCCCCACCCCTCCTTCCCCCTCCCTCCTGGAGCAGCACATTTAAGAATAATATGACTCTTCACTCCCCTCCTCATAGATCTGTATCACCTGGAGGTGACAACAAATACACATTATCCTTCTAATATTCGGGAAAACATCTTCAGAACAGTCCCATTTTGTGTGTTTGTACACACAAACAAGCACAATTTAATACACGACATCGTTAATACATGACATTAATTGCTGCAAATTATACACGCCGTACATGTCATCTGTCAGTGTCACAGCAAACAGAAATTTGGGGGCAGTTCAGAGATTTAAAACACTATTTGCATCAATTCTTTTTTCCTGATTCCTCATATCCAAAAGCAGCCAAACACTTCCAATCCCTATTAAAAAAAAAGGACTTTCTTAAAATGGTGAAGCACCAAAAGGTGGGTACGTACATGAGGGGGCAGGCACTGTTGAGAATTTACATATATTGATAGAATTTACACACACTGGTATGAATTTACCCAGGAAAAGCACAGGTTAAATACACTCTGAGGGCACCTACTCATTTGGGGACCTCTGCAGTCTGATTTGGAATGCAAATTGGGCGCTGCAGTCTACCAAGAAATTAGCATTTTTGTACCTTAGTCTACAGAGTAATGTAGCATCATTGGAAGACTTTCATTATTTCACCAAAAATGCAATTAGAACACAAGTTCAATTTTTCTGTACAGTTTTCACTTCTCATCCTTCCGGAAAAAAAAAAAAAAAAAACAAAACCAGAAGTGACTAAAACTTCTGCACAAATGAAAACTACTATGGCTGAAAATTCAGATTTATATATAAATGATAAATAGCTCATTTATTTACTTTATGCTCTCTAAAGACATTCACCTAGTCCTGCTTTCTAAGCCTCCCCCCAAAAAAGCAAAGTTGGTTTGGAGGTTTTTTTGTTTGGTTGGTTGGAATTTTTTGTTTTGTGCATTTTTATTAAATTATTGTTTGTGGGGGTTTTTGAGGGTTTTTTGGGGGGGGTTTTGTTGTTGTTGGTTTTGGGGGGTTTTTTAAACAGTTTGTATATAATTCTGTTCACATCTGGCTCATACCAGAATAATTTCTATATATGAAGTTAATTTTTTCTATATAAATTAAATAATTGAGTGCATATTTATTTAGTTAAACAATGAATTTCCTGCCCCCTTTTTTTCCTTTTTAGTTCACCTCTCTAGGGCTCTGTTTTCTGGAATAATTGAGGAACAATAATGGGTTATTTCGGTTCTCAGATCATAGAATCATAGAATCGTCTCGGTTGGAAGGGACCTTAAAGATCATCTAGTCCAACCATCAACCTAACTCTGAAAAAAAAATAAGAAATAGGAAATAAAAATTACTAAACTATATTCCTGAGGACCATGTCTACCCATCTTTTGAACACCTCCAGGGATGGTGCCTCAACCACTTCCCTGGGCAGCCCATTCCAATGCTGGAGAGCCCTTTTGGTGAAGAAATGTTTCCTAATATCCAATCTAAACCTCCCCTGGCACAACTTGAGGCCATTTCCCCTTGTCCTATCTCTTGTGACCTGGAAGAAGAGACCGACCCCCACATCTCTACACCCCCCCTTCAGTTAGTGGTAGAGAGCGAGAAGGTCTCCCCTCAGCCTCCTCTTCTCCAGACTGAACACCCCCAGCTCCTTCAGCCTCTCCTCATAAGACTTGTGCTCCAGACCCCAAATCCAGATCTAATTGATCATTTAAAAATCAGCACATTGGGACTGTCTGTACACATGGAAGTGCTGGGCCATCACAGCATCTAAGTGCCTTCTACATTTCTAGGAATTATTCCTTCAGTGACATTTTTATTAAAAAAGAGTATTTCCCTTTAAAACAGAAGATCTCCTTTGTAAGTATTTTCTTACATAAGTATCAATAAATCATATTTTACAAAGTGTCTGGCTAATATTTTACTTAGGGTGGCAACTACTTCTAAGCTTTTTTTTTTTTGACACCACCAAATATTTTCAATAACCAACCTCTTTTGCAGTGAGGTCTGCACCAAAGGGGTCTGTAAGTTGCTGATGAAACCAAGTGACTTTGTTCCTTGAAACAATCACACAAACTTCATTTCAAATATAAAACTCACCCCCAAAAAATGGCTGGGAAGAGATAACCTGGAGAGGATACACTAAAGACTGTACAATCCGGAGTGACACAGAAAAGGGGAATAAGAAACTTGTCCAATAAAAGGAGTGGGCTGTGAAGAAAGTAGGGTCAGGAGAAGACAAGTTGAGCTGTGGAACTTGTTGGAGCAAGGTCTTGTGGAGGGGAAACAACAAAAGAGCAAGGAGAATCCAAAGTTTCATAGATATGAAGATGCCCTTCTGGATCAGGAGATCCCTGAGCTGCAAATCATCAAAGAATAGAAGAATATTGCGTGGAAAAAACCCACATTTTCATCTTTTTCTTATGCTACTTCCAAGACAGTTGCTTTTGGACACAAATATAGGAGACATTGGGCTGAGCGAGTCCTTGATCTACTTTCCATTATGGTAATTTCCATTGCACACCTTAATGCAATTTTTAACTTCCTAAAAACCAATGCTCACGTCAGAAGTTAAGGGGAAATCACAGCTACTGGTGAAGGAAAGCATGGCATTGCCAAACCATGAAATAAAATGTTTTTCTCTGAGAATATTCTTGTCATGAAGGCACCGACAGCTCCTCCCAGTAAACGTCAACTACACAAGTGTCCAAGCTCCTTCTCAAGAGGACTCCAATTAATTCTCAAGAGGACTCCACTGTTAATTGGCCACCCATTCGCGGCTTGTGAATGAGAGAACATGAAAGAGGTTTTATGTCAGCTTCCTTCATATTTAGCTGCATTTTATTAATATATTAACATTGAAACAGAAATCCACCTCCTAGATGGTTCTTTAAAAACTGTTTCAGGCCCAGAAGAAAACTAGTGTTTAGTAGGAACTACAAATGACGGCCCCAAATTCCCTCTCAATGCAGAGGATGTCATTGGTGAGAGTGATGGTGGGACACCCATGCCAATTGTAAACAGCAAGGCAAGACAGAACAGCCAGCTGTATAATGAGGCTAAATAAACAGTTAATCAAGAGAATAATTGGAATCTGATGGCATTAAGAGATCCCCTGATATCCATTATGATATTATGAAATGTAGTTTGAGCACTTACAGCTCTAAACAGCGCGACAAGACTTTTACTCCCAGTTTGGTATGGCCTCAAATGGGTTCACCACTCCATCCTTCAATCCTATGGATTGCCAGCTACATAAGAATGATAATTTTGTGGTGCACCGATGACTTGATCAACACATGGAAACGGAATTTAAAAGCACAATGTTATTTATGTACTGCTACCTCAAATGGATTGCTCTTTAGGGGTTGAGGCAGCATAATGTCCACTCCTGGAAAGCAAGTTCTGGTTTCATGACACAAAATCCAATTTGTGTTCTTAGAGAATATCCTGTAAACCAAAATACAGCAGGTGGGGGAAACTGGGGTATTCAGTTGAAAAGCTCACTCCTGAACTCACCAAAACATTAATGTAGATGCACACGTACTAATTATTTTATGAAAATTAGGCAGCAGGTTATGGAACTCTGTGAAAGGCTCACTGAAAAAATAAAATTTGATGATCAAATTTGATAGTTAGAGTGATCCCCAATTAATATTTATATTTTATATTGAAACTAGAAATATAACTATAAACTGATAGCACAAGATATTTCAGCTTTGGAACATCCCAACAGAGTAAGAGGAGAGTAAGCACTGAGAAGCTTTAACACTTGCAAAATGTGTCTAATTGCCTGTTCTGGGATGTGTATTTCTTATTTACAGCTCTGTGAGATACTTATCAAAATAAAAAAAAAAACCAGCACATGATCCACCCCCGAGTTTAAGTCCTGCCAGACATTCACTCAAGTGTCCTGGGAAAGAAGAAATGTGTAAAGACATGAAAAATTCCCAGAATTAGGGGGGAAACAGAATTTGAGAGAGGAAGGAAGGATGCAGAAGGTAAAATGTACCATCAGTAGAATACTGTTGCTCATCTTAGGAAGACATGGTGTATAGTCCTACTAATGGCCCCAAAATTATTTTTCTAAGGAAATTACATTCTTCTAGAGGAAGAAAGTACCAGTCTAAAGCAGGCCGTTATCAGAGGACCAGCAGGACGGTCATATAACCTAAAGATATTTCAGAAGAGGCCTTCATCTGCTACAAGTGAGTATCACAACTTCAAAGAAGTATTTGCATTCTGACTAATAATATCAAACATTGTTTGCTAAACAGAGAAGAAAGTGATATACAAACACAGACTATTAAAAAAGAGGTTTGAGAGGTAATTACAATCCTATTCGTGCTCAGGTCTGGATGCAACATTTGACAGAAATATGATGGACACCCTTTCTTTAACGACCTTAATTTATTCTCATTTCTTTCTACATCCTTCTGTAATCTAACACTTCAAGCAACAGGGATTTTATCGAAGAGGAGAGCGGGAAGGGGACTTCCTCACATATAACCTCATTATATTTATACCGATAACCACTGACATCATTATCACATTCAGAAAATTAACCCCTCTGTGAAATTCTCATCTGATTAGAAAAACTTTTAGGCTGAGAAAATCTGTCACCACGATATGATTTCCAGCCTTGGAACACAACAGATAAGAATTTATTCCTCTCAGTACTCCAATATATATTTCATATACGCTGTATCAGTCAAGAGGAGAGAGATAATAAAAACCTGATTAATAGGGCCTCCAATGCAGAATACCAATCTTAATATACTTCCAGACTATTATCTGTAGCTATTCTAAGTAATATCTATAACTTAACACCTACAGTCTGACTGGATATGTTTCATGATTATGATCAGTAAAGTTTTCCTTTTGAAAATAAATAAAACTGTCCAGATTAAAAGGATTTA